CAGAAAGAGGCCGAGGAGAAGGCCAAGAAGGAAGCTGAGGAGAAAGCTGAGAGAGAGGCAGAGGAAATGGCCAAGAAGGAAGCGGACGAAGCCGCCTTGGCCGATGCTGGTGGAACTGGAGCTGACCCTGGACAGACTGTGGGGCCTGCTGCAAATGGAAAGGCTGATGCACCGGATGACTTTGCCGACTTGCTCGGCTGAGCACCCGACCGCCTGCGCTGAGTTGACCTGATCTCCCGCTGAACGACCAAATATCCTCGAAGCTGTATACAACAGTCTCCATGCACAGTGATTTGTTCCGTCCATGGATGGAGTGTGTGCAAAGCTGGAGTATGTGAAGCATGTGTTTTAGTGTCCATAAGTTTCTTGAGATTTTGTTAAGCCTATGTTTGTTGTCATTCATGTTGACAGCTGCTTCAAACAAGGAAACACATGCACAATGCACATGTCCTTCTCCATGGGGCTATCTACGAGCAAACCGGAACCTGGTTGGTTATCTACGCTAGTATGCCGCTGCCTGTCCTTACCACAAGCTGTATCAAGACTGCTTGGAGGATGTTTGAATCCGTGTAAAAAGAATCCCGCTCACGGGCTGTACAAAGCGTTACAAGCCATGCCTTCCCGTAGTGGCATGTGTGCGATTGCTGAGAAGCCGCCTGAAAGAGCCTGAGCTTTCAATGCTTCGTTGCATTTGAGCCTGAGCTGAAATGATGTCTCAGCAATTCTCAGCATATCTCAGCAGTGTGCACACTCCAGGGCACCTTAGCAAGGCGGCAGCCACGCAGTTTGAAAGAAGCTGCGCCTGGATTTGCTGCAGGGCTTATGCTGGAGTCTGAAGTACCTTGGTGATAGATTGCTAGTTATAGTTACAATATATAGATTCATAAAGGAAAACTCCCAAAGAGGCAACGCAGCACAGGTTCACAAAACCCAAATACCTCAACACTCACCCTCATGCGGCTCAAAGCTCCTTTTAGACTCAAAGCTTTTGAACAACTTTGAATTGAGTTAATAACTATAGATATATTGGCCGGCCAGACCTGCAACATAATGCTTCGTTGCATGAAACCCTGCGATATATTGAACCATATTGAACCCTTTGCATACCTTCGCAATGTTCATAAGCGTGCTTGCCAGGAACACAAGTGCTTGAAGCTAAGCTGAAAAGTGTTATTCATGTGTTTTTGTTTCCCTATGCAGTACGTGCTTGAAAACTTGGCTGGCTCCTTGATGAGGAGCGCAGAGTAAGTTCCTGTATTTTATTGTTTTCGCAAAGGGTGCTCTTTCAATGTCTAGAGTCTAAAAGAACCTTCAAGTCGCCTCTGAACAATAAGTGCCTACAGAACCCCCTCCTTCACTTGGCCCTGGCGATGAGTTCTTCCATTGGTCAAACCCAGCCTGTCCACTCTCTGGAGAGGATCAACAGGCCAAAAGAACGGGAGAACAACACGTTTTGTTTCGGGCACGCCTTGGAAAGACAAACCACAAACAACATGTGGCATGTTTGTTTTATAATTGTATAATGTTTTAATGCAGGTTGGCATGTGTATATTTCGCATGAGAGATAGTGATAGTAGTATGTTGCACCTGGCTGCCAGGGTTTTGGAAGGATAGGTAGACCAAGTTCACTCTCAACTCTTTTGCTTATGTTTTTTTCCGCGGTGTAGTTTTCTTGGACGGTTTCCAGCTCGACGTGCATCTCCACCTCACACGGCTGCGGTTTTCCTCCCGTGTTTCTCGTCGGGGGGTTCCGTCCTTTCGCGTCTTCGTCGCAGTCGTCACCGCGTCCGTCGTCCTCATCGCCATGTTGACTCCCGGGTGGGGCAACGGTCGGGGGACCGGTTTCCTGCCCCTCTCGGCCGTCGAGTTCCGTGGGGACCGTCCTTGGGAGACGGTTTCCTGGTGGACTGACTGTGGACTGGACACTCCCAGTCCGATCAGACGATTTGATGAGGCCGGGTTCAATCCTGGACGATCCATTGTGAGGACATACACGAAGATCAAACTAAGTTTTGTTGGTTAGCTCCGGTGCTGAAAACACGCAGTAAGACCTCAGGTTGTTTGTTGAATGCCTGGTTTTTGCATTACAGCCCTCTTTTTGAGAGGGGGATATCAAAAAACAGGTTTTTGTTGACTTAGGGCTCAACCTAGCCAAGCACACCTTAAGTCTGAGCTAAGTCCCAGAAGAGTCATCTGACAACTTTTGTTGCTAAATCTTGAAGGCCACATGTGAAAGTAAGAAATGCGTTTGACCGCACTTGTCACTTCGCTATAGTGTTGAGGGTTTCCCTCCATTGCAGCCGGAAAAGGAATAAGTGTAGTATTTGTTGGAAAACAAAAACATGTTTCCAACAAATTAGCTAGGACTTAGCTTAGAATCACTTTGGACTTACTTTGGACTCGGACTTAGGTCGGGCATAGGTTGGATGTACCAAGTCCAAGCCGAGTCCAAGTTAGCCTTATGTGAAATAACTCTGAATCAGCTAAGTCAGGCCTAAGCAGTTATTAACCAGAGTTAGTTAGCTAAGTCAAAGCTGAATCAATCCTAACTTGTGCAGAGGTTAATGAGACTTAAAACAATGGTTACTAGTAGGTTAGCAGGTTTATCACCTATACACAGGTTGTAAGTCCAAGTTGACGATACACCCGGCAAGTAGGAATATTGGGGCCACAATACAAAGTTAATGACCATAATTCTCAAGGAACTCATGTGCAATGAGATAGGTGGAAATGCAGGTGGAACCACGTTACAAATACCTCCGCTGGAATGTCAATTTCTGGATCGCAGATCTTGGAGGGGTCACCCAGTGCCAGAAGACTTGTGAGACCACAGGTTCAGATTTGCACTTCATGTTGCCGTCAGTTTTAGCGATGGAACAGGCCGCGTGGTGGAAAACCGGGTTTTGACCCGTAGGTGACCCAAAAAACGACCCGTAGCGATAGAACACCCGTAAAAAACATGCGTAGTTTTCCGGTAGTTTCAAGCATCCTGGGATGTTGAGAATGCTCTTGGCTTGATCCGAGCGTTCCTGATCGCAGCCCAAAGGGATGCTTGCCGGGCCGACAGCTAGCTAAGTCTAACTAATTCCAAGGTAGACATATTAAGTTATATATATAAGTACGCGTATACAAGTATTTAGTAGTGACGTAGCGTGGACTTTGCCAAGGTAGATGTAGCTTAGATTTAAAATGAATAATAGTATATACTTAGCTGAACTTAGGTTGGATTTCCTATATAAGTCCGTGCAAAGACCCAATCTTTGTCTAAGCGAAGCCTAAGCCAAGTCCAGGTGTGTCTTTTGACATTTTTTTGACAGTTCTTTTCCAAATCTTAAAGGGAATATGTGTCAGATTGGACTTTGCTTAGAAGGAATATTGTCCAAAGCTTTTCTGACAAATTGGCTTGGACTTTGCTTAGAGGCTTAGACTTACTTTGGACTCAGATTGGACTTAGGTCGGACATGGGTTGGACTTACCAAGTCCAAGTTAGCCTTATGTGACTTAACTTTGACTTAGCCAAGTCAGACCAAAGCACTTACTATAACTTCTAATTTCAGAGTTAACTGTTGCCAAGCTGAATCAATCCTAACCTTTACAAAAGATAAGTGACTGAAACCAGGGTTGCTAGTATTTTGCTATTGCATTACCGTATATTTCCACATACTTCCGGCATGTGAACAAAGCCTTGATGAAAACCTTTAAAGCTTATGATGATTCCTGGGTGTGTTCACATGAGCAAATGGCCACTTCCAGTGACTACGGTTACACTGTTACACAGTGTGTTCGAAGCCAAATATGGACATGCATCAATGATGCTGTGAGTTTTGTGTTGGGAACCAAGGTCTCCTACATCCATGAAAAAACAAACAATTGTATGGATTTCATGGTCCCCATTCCCATTACAACCGGATGTTCAATCCACAACTGCAAAAGTCGGGTCGTAAGAAGCCAACCGTTCTTTTTCACGGTGGTGAGGGCGCATGCTATCGTCCATCGGATGCGATCGGTAGGAGAACTCATAAGCTCCCGTGATGCGTACTGCGGACTGCCACAGTCTGGATCGTTCAGAGGTTTCGTCCTGTGTGGCAAAGTCATGATGGAGTTTTCAGCAATCAGGAGAAACCTTCACCAAAGCTCAAGCTGAATAGGAAGTCAATAGGAAACCCGAGCTGATACGGCGTGTCAGAGCTCACAAAAAGCCATCTCAACATACTCTATGACGTGCCCGTTTGCCTCATCACCGCACCTGTTTCAACGCCGATGCGCGCCACAAATGGCGGGTGGTGCTGGTTTTGCTACGGTGCTCCGGGCGAGCAGGTGGAGCATATTCTGTGGCCTGTTTGCATGTGGTCAAAGGGAATGGGCCATCTTCAGTTTATTTACGGCATCATTTCTGGGTCGGGAGTGGTGGGAGGCCGGCTTTTTTCGACACGACTGAATGTGGTGTTTGAATAAATCGGTCGCCCACCCTTGAAGATCTTGAAGGTTGGATTCCTCTGAAGACAAGGTTCTCTAGGCACCACATCAAACCGCCAGACGGTTTGCAGGGGAAACCTCGGCTGAACCACAACACTCCCGGTCGCACCAGATTATTGGCTCCCTCAAAAAGAACGGCAACAGCACCACTACAGTGACTGAAGAGTCTTAGTTTGACAAGTTGCTTGGTTTTACACCAACCATTCTTGGCTTAAAGCGAACATTCAGACAGATTCCGCGCTAATAGAGCTCTAAGCACCAGATGGTACAGTTTGTAAGAGTCGCACTTGGACCAAATCTGACGATGTACACTAGATTCCCGGGCTCTTAAGCACCTCAGATGAGTTTAAAGCATTTTCTACACCTGACTTCTCCAGTGTCCCTACCTCATGCCACTCCCAGGGCGGGTTGCGTGCGATGCGGCCGTGGACCGTCACACTGCGCTTGCCGACTGACACTTGCCGAGCAGGTGCGCCGGTGCGACTGACCATCCATGGTAGCTAGGAACAAGGTGCATCGCTACTAGTGACAGGTGCATCGCTAAGAACATGGATGGGTCATTTGGATGGGATAAACTATGATAAACTATAGTAATGCCATAGCTACTAGCAGTAATGCCCTTGCTACTATAGTAGTAATGCCCTTGTTACTATAGTAGTGAAAGCAACATTAAATCAACCTTGTGTAACTATTCCAGTCCCATGGATGGTCTGGGTTTCTTCCTTGGGCTTTGAGGTCGTTTCCTCTGTTCCTTCGTGAGCGGTTGACGGCTCGAAACGGTATCTTTCTCAATTTGCTGGTCGGTTCGAGGTGTTTCGAGGTGTGTGTGAGTTGGATCAGGCCTAAACAACATGGCAGTGTAAGAAACCATAATTGTTCCACCAGCTTCAACTGCGTGAAAGCAAAGCATTGGGACACTTGAGGACCTTCTGGCAGGTGTTACTCTCAATTGGCTGCTGGCATCGGATGGTATCGGCTTCAATCTCTAGCTTAGAAGAAGTGTGGCTTTCCAAAGGAGAGCTCCTAGGTCCGAGGGTTTTGATTGGGGCGGTTTTCCGACCATCTCACACAAGTGCACCCTCGTGAAGGCCGAGGCGCTCGGACACCCATTTCTGATGGACGGTCTGCCAAACGCCAAAACGCGCCAAAACCAACCAAAGGACTTTGCTTTTCAGGCCTCCGTCTCGCCAACCGAGGGGCCGTTGGGACGACGGAGATGGACGGTCCTGTTTTGCCGCGGCCGAAGCGCATTTCTCGCAGGTCCAGCAAGGGACGACCAGCCTCAACGAGTGGCTGTGCAGCGAAATTGGAGATCGGCAGCTGTGGGAGCCCCAGACGATCCCGACTCGGCAGATGAGGTCGACTGGCAGAGTCAAATTTTTAAGAGGGACAGACACGAGGTTGTAGGACAGACATGAGTTCTTTGCCTTTTTTGGCGAATCGTCAACTAAGATGACTTTGCACATGAAACATGGATGTGTATGATGTCAAATGATGTGTGTCATGTTTTCCTTCTGTGTCCCTCCAAATGTCAGGACTCGTCCGACAGGCGGAGCACTATCCTTTAGGGATACAGATGAGGATACGAGTGTTTTATCAGACAGCATCAGACTTCAACCAAAGACGAGAGCGCACCTCACCAGCTCGAGCACTTTTTTGGTGGTCCATCATATTCCATCATCACATCATATCACATCCTTCAGATCCACTTCATCCACTCTGGAAGAAGCATGGAAACCAACCTTCATAAACACCCGTTCTTCCTAGGAAATCGGTGCACCTTGCTCCAAGGAAAACCGATGCACCTTGCGTCCCGTTCGTAGCTTCCCTCCGAACGACCCCAACCGCGGAGCAGCACCTCGGGTCGAGGAACACGGCGGCGGCGGCGTTGCTGAAGGCAAAGGCGCAGGACGCACCACGGGAGCCGAAGAGTGGCGGTTCGTGTGGTGAAATCGTGTGTGAAAGGAGGGCAACGTGGCGATAGGATCGAAGATGTGAGTTTGAATATGTTTGAATCATCATGAATATATAATATTTATAATATATATATACAGTAGTATACAGCGTGCGTATATATATATAAGCGATTTGGCCGCATCCTGATCGCTCAAGATCTTCTCAGGAACGGGGGCGGTGCCATGGATGTCGGCACGTTGCCCTCCCACCTTTGGGCTGTGATCCTGGGTTGGGGGCTTCGTGCCTTTTTCGAAAGGCCTTCGATCCCCGAGGAAAGGCCTTGCATCTGCCGGTGCAGCTGCTCTTGTGTCAGTGAAGGCACCGGCTACTCCTTTCTGGCCCTGGTGTTTATCCTCGTGTTAGGATTGGGCTTGACAGCTGCCTGGTTCTTTGTGAAGAAGGAGACCGCTGGTTCTGCGAGTCCCAAGGGACGGAAGGGAGTTTTTGGTGTGAGTGGAAAGGTTCTCTCATTGACTGGTTGAAATGGAAAGTGGACATGTTGCCCTTGTCCACTACGGAGAAAATCCTAGTGTCTGGCATGTTCGCATCCTCCTCGGCCACATACAAGCCAATGAATGGCAGATCCTCACGCCGGACTTTGACCGATACAGTGAGCAGTTAGATCATCTCAATCCTGATTATACAGATTTCATTTATTTGGGAGCATCTACAACTGTTCCTGCAAGAGTGCCTGCTCATGAGGTGTATGGGTTCGCGCCCATGGACCCTGGAACGCTAGCTCACCACATTCAACAAGGTCGCATGGAAGCAAATGCCGAGAGGCTCAACCGAGGTCTTCCACCTCTGGCTCCTATGGCTGCTGGACATGCGGCTGTGGTTCCTCCGCCACCGGCAGTCGCTCCTTTACCAGGAGTGCTAGGAGGAGGGGCTGCGGTCGCAGGAGCTCCCCCAGCGGGGGCAGGGGCCGGGGCGGCTCCAGCCGGAGTGGTTAGCATGTGTTGGGTCAGCATTGAAAATGCAGGTGGCTATAGCAAAGGTGACATTGTTGTTACAGAACCTGCATTGCTTCCGGCTGGACATGTGTTGATTGGAGAGAAGGCCATAGTTCCTGCAAGGGATGGTTCAGCAGTCGGGTGTTTTTGCAAAAGGGTCAAAGTTACAGATGCAGGCAGTTACAAGCTTGAGGACCTCCGCGTGCTTCCAGTCTCCTTTGACGCCCAGGGTATCAGGAGACGGGAGTTTGCTCAGGCCGTAGCTGCCATGGTTGAAGGTGTTCCCCAAGGAGGAGGGCTGCAGCTTGAGGGGCCAGCAACGGCCCTCAATGTGTTGAAAGCCCTTCGAGATCAGGCTATGACACCGACATCTTTCCATGAGTTTTGGCTGCGCAGTGCAGAAATCCCGAAGGGGGATCGGTCGACCTATGAGCATGAGGTCCTCTCCCGCATCCTCGAATCGATCGTCACGGTTGATCAGTTGAATGTTAGTGGACTTCAAGGGATCGAGTTGTTGGTTCGTCGACTTCAAGTGATCCGTGAGGCTCACCGAATTTCGCCAACAAGCCCAGATTACAGCTCAGCAGAATTTTTCATGGGATGGCGCTACCGCAAGGGAGCGCATGGTGTCGACCCTGACCTCGCCCATCACGTGGCAGCGGAATTGAAGTCCGAGGCCATGATCCTCAAGGAAAGCCGCAAGGCTAAAGAAGAGGCCCAAGCACGCCGTCGAAACCCCGGAGACAAGAAGGGGGGAGGCGGCGGAGATCAGAAATGAGAAGAAGTCCGGGTGGCGCTTTGACAGCAGGGGTGCCACCCTTCCCTGCATGCTCTGCTGATGTTGAATTCGATCCTTTCCATGGCCGTGAGCTCAATGACTTCATTCGAGAAGAACGATGGCGTGAGCTTTTTCCACTGCCGCACGCGGTCCCTACCGGCTCAGGCTACGGGCTTTCCACATCTTCTAGACGAAGGAAGGCCAAGGTCCGTGGTTTGGTTGAGGAGTCAAATCGTGTAATTGACAGTTTGAACGAGATGTATGCCGCACAGTCCAATGTTTGTGAAACTAGAGTCAGTGAAGCACAGAGGGCTAGTCAGCATGCAATTTTTCAGCAATTGGCCCGAATGCCCAGGGCTCAAAAACAATGCAGTATGCGTGAGGCTGTTCAAGAGCTTCTGCAGTGTGACTCCTCCTACGGACAGGAGGATTTTGTCAGCACGGTACGCCCCTATGACCGAGAGCTTGTTTCGCTCCCTGACACGGGAGATTGTCCGATAGCACTGGACCAGGTCCTTGATGAACATGGACGACAAGTACTTGGTGATCCTCAATGCAGTATGCTTCTCTCGGAGGAGGAGTGGGGGCAGGTGCTGGAAGAGGGAGATTTGGTGAGACCATATATGGATGAGAGGTTGCAGAAAGATCAAAAGTTGTACGTTTCTTTCGTTCAGGACTTGCATGCAAAGGGGATGATCTCTTTCACCTCGAGGCCACGGGAAATTGCTCCTCCGTTTTTCGTCAAAAAGAAGAATGGACGACTACGCCTTATTCTTGATTGTCGAGCCGTGAACAAACGCTTCAAAAAACCGCCACCACTGGCCTTGGGTGCTGGTACCTCGTGGGCTCAGGTGGCGATCCCAGAGGGCTCTACGTTGTATCTGGCTCAATCCGACATCAAGGACTATTTTTACAGCCTTGCATTACCACAAGAACTACAAAGCCTGTTTTGTCTTCCGGCCATTGCCAAGTCGGCCTTGCAGGACTGGAACATCGACATGGCGACTGTGGATGAAGATGCAGAAGGCTGGACTTTCCCGATGCTGCGGGTGGTTCCCATGGGCTGGAGTTGGGCAATGTGGGTTGCACAACGTGTTCACACCCATCTGTGCATTGAGGCTGGAGGTCTAGCATTGACCGGGTCGTGGTTGAGAGCAAGGCCCCTCCAGACATTTCAGACAAAGAGGTCATTTTGATCCCCTACGCTGACAATCTGAACGTTGCAGGCATTGATGAACTTCGAGTTCAAGAGGTAAAGGACAAGATCGTTCGAAGGCTCCGGCAAATCGGATTCAGGGTGCATGAAGAACTTGAAGCATGTCCCATTGGGCAAAGCCTTGGTTTCCTGATCGATGGACAGAAGGGTATTGTCACGCCAATTCCGGAAAGGCTGCAGAAGGTGAAGCTGGCACTGGATTGGCTTGGCAGGCGACCGTGGGTTTCAGGGAAACAAGTAGAGCGGCTTATTGGGCATTGCATTCATTTCATGCTTCTTCGACGTGAGTTGCTTTCGGTTTTCAGAGCCATGTACGATTTTGTTCAAAAGAGTTATCACTACAAGAGCGTGCTTTTTCCATCAGCAGCAAGAGAAGCGCGTTGGGCCTCCAGTCTTTTGGGCCTATGCAGTGTTGACCTCAAGCGAACTTGGAGTGAGAAGGTGACCAGCAGTGACGCCTCTCTGTCAGGCATTGCTGTATGCACACGTGAGCTGCCTCGTGAGGAAGTAGCCCGCATAAGTGCACAGAGAGAACCCTGGCGATACAGGTACAGGGAGCTTCCACCGCCACGTGAAGCTGCACTACATAGAGGGGATCCTTTTTCTGACATTTCTACTGTTAAGCCTCTACGGACGGATTTGGAACCTGAAGATCCTTTTGAGCTCAACGAGAAATTTCTTGAAGTTCCCCCCGAAGTGATGCAGCAGGACCACTGGCATGAAGCCTTCGCTGTGCATATGAAACATGCTGAGCATATCACGTTGCTTGAGGCCAGAGGTGTTGTATTTTCACTTAGGCACAAATTTCGTTCAGTTCAGCATTTTGCAAGGCGGCATTTGCATTTTGGGGACAACATGAGCATGGTGTTGATGATTTCTAAAGGACGCTCGAGCACCTTCCCCATGTTGAAGGTTTGTAGAAGACTGTGTGCATTGCTGCTATGTACTGACTCCTACCTGTCCATTCGCTGGATTCCGTCGGAGTTGAACGTTGCTGACAAGGGTTCTCGAAGGTGGGAGCATCTTAGAAAACAGCATGTTGCTGGCAGAGCCAGTGAGAGGCAGGAGCTTCGGAGGATTCATGAAAGGTGCTACCCAACTCGAACTGGCCAACAAGACCATGGACAAGCTGCATTCAGTCCCTTGCCCCCAGAAGAAGAGAGGCAGGGTTTTGATGACCCACTTCGACAAGAAGCCGGCAGAGAAGGCAAAGACTCGAGCGCAAGTGGTGGCCAAAAGAACGGATCCACCCCGCTTCAAGGGACAGACGAACTTGGAGCGATTGGCAGTCTCAGAGGCGGTCGCCCGGGACTACACACGAAGAATAGAGGACTTGAGACGATTCTCGAAGATGCAGAAGCTTTCTTTGAAGGGTCCCAAGAAATTGGACGAGGCCTGCACCAGATTTCTCAACGACATCTTCGAGCAGGGCGTCGAGTTCCACGAAGGCTCAAAATTTGTGGCCGCAGTGAAAGATGCGTTCCCAGACTATGGCCCGAAGGGCATGTTGCCTCGGATGGTCCGGGCGCTGCAGGGTTGGGGGAAGGTCGACCCTCAAAAGACACGACCTCCCCTTCCATGGGAGCTGGTGGCGAGCCTCGCCATGAAGATGAGGAAGCGGGGCCGCCTGCAGCCGGCGCTGGCAACCCTGACAATGTTCACTGCTTACCTGAGGCCAGGCGAGTGTCTGGCCATTCAGAAGACAGATCTGGTGAAGCCGATGCCGAAGCAAGAGTTTCATACATTGCATCTTCATCCTGCCGAACGACACGAGGCCTCAAAAGTTGGAATCTCAGAGGAATCAATCCAACTGGATGCCACGCAGGTGCAATGGCTGGGGCTAGCCCTCGAGCAGCTCCAATCCCCAGGTCCCTTCCTTTTCGACCTGGGATACACGGAGATGGTGAGTGCCTGGAAACAAGCACTCGTCGACGTAGGACTGGAGCACAACCACGCCGTGCTCCATCAGCTTCGCCACTCTGGACCTTCGTTCGATCGATGCCACCGTCTCAGGTCGCTGATGGAGATCAAAGCCAGAGGCCGATGGGCCGCGGATGCCAGTCTCCGTCGCTACGAGCAGCATGGCCGCTTGAATCAGGAATATCATCGCCTACCACTGGCGACACAAAAGCTTGTTTTGCAGTTGGAAGAGCAGATGAGAAAGCTGGGCCCAAAGTTTTTCACCCACCCTCAACAATAGACAATGGAAAGCTGTTTATTGAGCTGTTCTCCGGATGCGCACGCCTTTCAGAGGCCATGGCAGTGCATGGTTTCACAGCCATTGCCTACGACATTGACTATGGCGCAGGCTGTGACCTCCTGGATGCCAGAATCCGCTTGGACTTGACTCGATTTATCAAGCAGCATCGAAGTCGTATTGCGTTGATTTGGCTGGGCACTCCTTGTACTAGAAGGCATGACGGTGGCCCTCCGCCATTGAGGGACGATTGTGAAAATCTTTGGGGGTTTGCCGATCTACATCCACATGATCGCACAAAAGTTAGCTTGGGCAATGAGTTGCTGTTCACCTCAAAGTTTTACATAGACCTTGCTTGCCATTTGTCTATTCCCTGGGTCATGGAAAACCCCTATACATCCAGGATCTGGCTCACGCCGCAAGCTTTGGCATTGAAAACCTTTGGGGCACGTCTCCATGAAACACATTTCTGTTGTTTTGGGACGCCTTGGAGAAAGGCTACAGGACTGTTGGAATGGGGTTTCCCTTCGCTCCAAGCATGTGCACTGACCTGCCAACCACTGGGAGGGCGCTGCCAACACTCCGGCAAGCGCCATGTTGCATTGTCCGGCCGGGACGAGGAAGGTCGCTGGAGGACACATGTGGCGCAACCTTACCCTCGCTTGCTTTGTGCTCAGATCGCCCACCAACTACAGAGTTCACTAGTGTAAGTGGATTGGGTTGAGATGGGCCTGATTCAAAACCTGGAATCAGAGCCAACCTTT